GTCCACTTGCCGACATACCAAATTCCACAGGATGGATATGTCGTTCCCAACGTTCTCCCTTCTGAAATCCGACATGCCATTTCGTCGGTAAATAAGCAAACAGCACCTGGCCCAGACAAGGACAGACCTGAACACCTGAAGAACCTGCCATCATTACTCATCAATACACTGGCTCGGCTCTTCACTCGCTACCTGTCTGAATGCAAGGTTCCATCCCAATGGAAAACCAGCAGGACCCTACTACTGTTTAAGAAGGGAGACATCCATGACATTGGCAACTATCACCCTATCTGCCTATTGTCTGTCATCTACAAGTTGTTCACTCGAGTCATCCTAAATAGGATTGGCAGAACACTAGATGAAGGACAATCATGCAAGCAAGCCAGGTTCCGCAAAGGATTCAGCACCATCGACCATATCCACACGATAACCAAGCTCATTGAGGTTTCTCGGGAGTTCAAGATGCCGCTCTGTTTAACGTTCATTGATTTAAAGAAGGCCTTTGATTCTGCTGAGACAGAAGCGGTCATTGAAGCACTAGCCAATCAGGGCATTCAAGCCCAATACATCAGGATCCTCCGTGAGCTGTATTGCGGATTCACTACCAGGATCTCACCATTCTACAAAGTGATCGTTGATGTCAAGAGAGGGGTTCGGCAGGGTGATACCATTTCACCGAAACTCTTCAGTGCCACCCTCGAGAACATCATGCAACGACTGGAATAGGAAGGAATGGGAGTGAAGATAGATGGTCGGCAATTACACCACCTCCGCTTTGCTGATGACATTGTTTTAATAACACCAAACATCAGCCAAGCGGCACAAATGCTGGCCGACTTTGACCGTGAGTGTGGAAAGGTAGGACTACAGCTGAATCTTACGAAGACAATGTTTATGAGAAACAGTCTCGTTCCTGATGCCCCATTCGCTCTCAACGGAACGACCATCTCCGAATGCAACAGCTATGTGTACCTAGGTCGAGAGGTCAACATGACAAATGACCTGGCACCCGAGCTGCGCCGGAGGAAGAGAGTGGCTTGGAACGCCTTCAAGAACGTTGAAGAAATAGTTAAGAGGACAAAGAACCTACGGCTCCGGGCACATCTCTTTGATTCCACTGTTCTTCCTGCATTAACATATGCCTCAGAGACCTGGGCCCTACGCAAACAGGATGAGAACGCTATTCAGGTCTCCCAAAGAAGAATAGAAAGAGCTATGCTTGGAATATCACGTTTCACTCAAATGAGAGAACGAATCCGGAGTTCCGACATCCGTCGACGATCAAGAATCAGGGACACTGTCTGATTTCCCAAGGTGTCAAAAATCAGATGGGCTGGTCACGTAATGAGATTTAAAGACGACCACTGGACTAGAGCTGTTACTGACTGGATTCCACAGGATGTCAAAAAACCGAGTGGCCGCCCACCTAACAGATGGTCAGACTTCTTCGTGAAGATCATGAACGATCTGTTTGAGTCTCTTCATATTCCCAGAGCGAACAGATGCCATTGGGCTACACTAGCACGCGACAGGGACAAATGGAGACATTACTAGCGCCCACTCGAGCAAATCAACGACTAACGGGAAGTTAAGTGATTTAAGTGATATATAAAGTTGATAACAGTGGTTAGAGTTATCCCCAGTGAAAGTGTTAGAGGACTGAGGAGGAAGAACCTGCTGTGGGAAGACTGTAGCACTGTCGCACTGTCCTCCCGTTGTCCATCGATTTCCTTGAGCAGGCTCCAGTAACGTCTCCATTGTGAGACTTGTTGTTTCTGTTTTTGGCATATTGCATACACCACGGGGAGCTTGCCAGGCTTTGCCGTGTGGACCGGATACTCTCGGTAGTTGCCAGGCTCTCTGAGAGGATGAAGGAATTGAACCTGGGTTGGCCACATGCAAGGCAAACACCCTATCTGATGTGCTATCGACTGTATAAAGAAAAAATAGATTATAAGAGATAATGGGAAGTAAAGAAGGCAGTAAAGGAGCTGAGCGCTTTAGAAGACAAATGATGCAATGCATGAATAAGCTATAAAGAAAATAGCAAAGTCTTTAAGGAGAACCAGAGTTACAGAGCCAAAATTTATCTAACTTAAAAATTTCTCCAAGTTGAAACTTTGAATAACCCAGGGACACACCAAAGAACCTGAACCAAGTAGTTTGCTGCAGAGATGCCTCCGAACTTTAAGTCAGGCCAACTTCACTGGGGTGCCTCAGATGGGGGCAGATGTTGTCCCTCCACCTGCCCCTGAAGAGCCCCGGTGACTGGCAATTTCCAGAACCCAATGAGACATGCAGGTACATGGGTTCAGTTATGGCAAACTCCAGGCCTCAAAGGACAGGGGATGGGTCAGTCCTTCTTACACTCACAAACTGCCTCCAGCTGCTACTTAAGCTCCTTAACGGCCATGATCCAGAGACACACAAACGAATCTCCGAACTGAGCAGCTCGCTGCAGAGATTTCTCCAGACCCCAATTATTGAATATTTCAGAATTCCAAGAGCATGCAGCGTTCTCGCAGCCATGCAACGTCTTATGCTATTCATAACAAGCATACAAAAAAGAGTGTGGGGGGAGACTGTCTGCCACAGAGACAAGGGAAGGGTTGGGATGGGGGGCATACTGGGGATCTTGGTGGTGGAAGATGTGCAGTGGTGGAGGGTTGGGTGTTTGATCATTATATGACTGAAACTCAAACACAAAAGCTTTGTTACTCTATCTCATGGTAATTCAATTAAAAAAGAAAGAAAGAACTTTGGATAACCAGTTTTAATTAGAGTAAGAAGATTAAGGTCAATTTTAGAATAAAAGAGAGTAGACATAAAGAATATTGGTGATAATAGCAAATTGTATCTTATCTAGAGAGTACAGTGAGAAAATAATTTTACAAGGTAGAATCAGCTAAGAGATATAGATCAAAGATATGTAAAGGTGCTAATATTGAGAGCACCCTCGAGTTGAGGGTATCCTAAAGAAAATGAAGTGAGCAGATTAAAGAGGAAATGAGCAGAGATTCTAGGGGATTTGGTGGAGCACTGATAGCTCACACGATGGGCACTGAAGGTGCGTCTTATACTCTTTTATAAACAAAATCCTGGAATTGGGGTTGAATGGCATGTCCTGATCAAACTATATTCTAGTATTCTGATTTGGGTAAAAAATAACATCCTTATTTTTCCCATTGTCCATATTACATCTTAGCAATATCGCTATGCTACTGTTCATGGTATGCTTTTCAATATTCAGTATATTTCTATATGCATGGTTCTGTTTTTTTCCCCTTTGGGAGACAGGGATTGAGCCATACCCTGCTGTACCCAGGGCATATTCCTAAGACTCTGCACTCAGGAATCACTCTGCCAAGCTCAGGGTACCCCATTGGAGTGCCAGGGATTGAACTGAGGTCAGCTATATACAAGGCAAGTGCCCTACTCACTGTACTACTAACTCTACAGCCCCATGTATGATTTTCTTTACAATTGTATATGATGTGTAAATGTGCTTATATACTTACTGATGTGTGTATAAATTGTGGAATTTTATACATGGTATGAATATAGGATGCATTCCTCAAGGAAAGAAAATATATTCCTCTATATAGTCTGGCTTTTATCATACCTTATATATTTGAGGAAATACCCAGTGTATGACTATATTTTATGTGATCTTTTTAAAGTTCTGGACATAGGACAGAAGCCATGCCGGTCCAATCCTAGTAGGGTCAGTCTCTGGGTCCAGATCACTTCTCAGCATGAGGCAGGCTGAGTTCCTGACTTGTTGGAGGGCACAGCGCTCCACTCACCTCATCCAGCTTCTGCTCAAATTTAAATGCCCAACCCTATAACCAGTCTCAGAGAGAAATCACAGCCATGCTGACAGTCCTGAAATGCCATGATTCTCAACCATCCTAATGAAACAGCTGCTGCAATGCACAGCCGCTAACACAGCCAAATGACATATCCAAAATTCACAGCCCAGGAGATATACAGAAAATTAAAACAGATAATCTTGTAGAAACCTACTAAACTTAATTAGCATAAAGAATGGCACAGAAGACCCAACTGGCACCTAATAGCTTAGCAAATCCTCAGACAGTAATTTTAGTAACACCATTATAAGACCTCTCTTGTAATAAGCAATATTAATTAAATTTATTTTGTGCCTGATAAGGTGACAAGCTAAATAGGTAACTTAGGGCATTGGAGGAGGAAAGTCTCACTGGTGATAGACTGGCGTTGGAATATTGTATACCTAAAATAACTGTTTATGAATAGTTTTATAAAACATGTTTCATGAAGTTTCAGTGAAATGTTTAAATAAAGTTTCAAAAAGGTAAAAAATAAATAAAATAAAGTTTTGGATATATATTCATTTTTGCAATAAAAATGAGTAAAAAATAATGTTTCCTTAAATGTGTCTCTGAGATTGGTGGTATTTCTGAGAAATTTCCTAGAAGCTAAAATGTAATAATTGGACCCCGAATACACTTTCTAAATCAGAAACTCTGAGAATGGAAATTAGCTATCTGTAGTTTAACAAGCTCTATAGAGATTTTTATGCTTGCTAAAGCTTGAAGACTATCGTCTTAAACCAAAGCATAAAGCATAAATTCTACAAATAACAATGATTGAGCAGGAATGTGGCTCGGAGGTAGAGTTCCTCTTAAATGTATGAGATCTCAGGTTTGATCATAGACATTACATGGCCTCTATCCCTCAAATTTTTTAAAAACTTTGTAAATGAATGATTAAGAGTAATAATGAAATGCATTAATTCTGTTTTTAAAATTATTAAGAACACTGCTATAAACACCGGTGCTACAATAATAAATTAAAAGGTTATAAATTCTATCTTAAATATAAGATAAATATTTTATCTATTTCTTTAATACTTTATTCACTGATTTTGAAAATTTTAGTTATTGCATACTAGTTTTTTAAGTCTGAAATGACTGCAAATAAGATATGATAAATTTATAGAAAATTGAGATATTTACCTTGAACATAAATTCTTGCTTGGTGTTTGTCCTTTCCTCTAATATTTTCAGCTTCACATTCATATATTCCTTCATCTTCTAACTGAATATTGAAAATCTTGAGGACAGCCCCAGAGGTGCTGAGCTCAGCAGTGCTTGGCATTGGTTCTAGGACTTTCCGCCATCGGATATCAGGGACAGGACTTTATACAGGGGATAATAAGAAGTAAAGAATTAAACAAAAGAATAACTTTATGTTTGTACTTGAACATTAACATAGTTTATCACCTAAAATAATAAAAATATGTATTCAGTTCTATTAATTAAAAATATAACTAAACTTACTTTCCAAGGGCAAAACACTCTAAAGTCACATTTTGGCCCATTAGTGTATATATGTCCTTGAATTGAACTACGATATCAGCAGGGTATGGTTTTGTTATTCCTAATATTAAGACAAAAAAATCCATTAATTATTAAAAGGAATGGTGAAGTTTGACAAAAATTGATATTATATAATATGTGGTAATAACTGGTATTTATAAATATTATACAATGATGTGGTTAAATAGATAAAACATCATGACATATGAGACATTTTATACAATATTTATGCACTATGACTCATTCTGAGAGCTGTGTAATGAATCTTATAAAAACAACTAAAAATAATGTCTAGCTCACATCAAATATGCTAAAACATTGTGTTAAGTGCTATATGGCACTCAGAAAACATAAAGTGGAAGGAAAAAGGGAAGGAGAATAGAAAATAAAGGCAAAGACATAAAAGAAAGAAGTACTCATAAGATAAACTCTAAGGGGAAACAAGTTGAAAAGTGGGAAGGAGAGACAGAAAGGAGAAAGTTTTTATCCATAAGCATTGTACTTATCACTTTACATAATTTCACTTGTGGTTCTTGAGTGCTGAATCTTTTGAGAGAAAAGTATAGGATTAGAGAGGTGAAAACACATTTTTGGGAACCACAAAGTGTGCATGATTTTTAAAATTTAATATTAAAGACATAAATCAATACACAGTTGTCTTAAAATATAAATAAAATAAAAAAATATTATGTGAAGATTGTTGGAAGTATGTTGGAAGTAATAGAATTTCAAAGGCAAGATATTTGAACTGAACAAATTCAGATTAAGAAAATAATGTAATATGACAAAACTCCAATAGTGTGCGGGATTAAAACATTCTAGAAATTTTGGACCAGAACTCAGTACATCAGGTAGGGTGCATGATCAACATAAATTCAATTCCTGGTATCTCATATGGCCAGTCCTACCAGAAGTGATTCCTGAGCATAGATCCAGGAGTAATTAAGCACCACAAGGCATGGTCCAAAATCAACCCCCCAAAATTCTAGAAATTTAAATGATATCGATGTAGTTGTAGTTGAACATGATCCTACATTCTAGAAGACTTAAGATTATTATACTAAATATTTTAGCCAAATTATCTTAGTGGAAATATAGTAATATATTTTGAGGGAAAATGATATAAATACTTATGTGTCATGGGAAAAAATTTGAGAGCTCTAGAGATTTTATTTGACTAAATCAAACAAAATAGATAAGGGCCTGAATGAGGACATAATTAAAGTCAGAACAGAAAGGAGAGAACAAGTGTAATTTGAATTTTAGTGGAACAGTAAACAGCATGCTCATTAGAGTAATGTTTCCTTAAAGTGTAGGATAATAATCCAATTCATTAGAATCTCCTGGGATGCTTATTGAACCAATAGTACAATGTGGATAACATGGCAATTCTGCTAAATCAGTATCTGGGTTCCACATTTTGGGCCAGGACATAATGTACGGAATAAATAGAACTGAGTGTCTGGAGTGATTGTACAGCAGGTATGACACTGCTTTGTACATTTACAAACGTGATTTTAGTCCCCAGAACTAAATATGGTTCCCTAAATCCTGCCTAATGTTATTCCTGAGTTCAGAGACATGATTAAGTCCTGAGCACTGCCAGGTGTGGTCCCCAAACCAAATAAATAAATACAACGGAATTTCCAGAGACAAGTAGACAAAAAAAGAAGTATAATATGAAAACACCTTTTAAATACGTGAATGCAGGAAAATATCTTCAAAAAGTCAGAATGTCAATAAGTATTCAATAAATACCAACCATGTTAACATTATCTTGAAGAGAGTAATAAAAATGGATTTACAATAATATGATGAAATTTTCTTGATTGTCATAACTACCTAAGTATAGTTAAAGGAACCATTTCTAAATCTGTCAGAGAGCAGTGTTTCCTCAGATATTTGTACCCTGTGTATGAGTATAGCAGCAAACTTATAAAAAGAAAAATAGCATGGTGACATAAGCAAATGTATTGATCTTATTCTCTCAGGCAATGGCACAACTTAAAAAGCAGAATAAATAATTCAGTTAGAGCCCCTGGAATGACTATAAAATTTTTTCAGTAGTCTTTAAAGGTATATTCACAGGAGTAATGCCTTACGCTGAATAAAAATAGTAGAAAGATACACACACACGTACACGCACATATAGGTATGTATTTGTATCAAACAAATAACTCCTTTAAAATATCATAATAGAGCCAGGGAGATTACTCAAAGGAAGAGACCACATGTTTTGTATAAAGGAGTCCCAGGCTTGCTCACCAATTCCACGTGATCCAGAACCAGAGATAGTAATCAAAAATAAATAACCAAACTTAAATTAATCAAATTGTCTTTCTTCCCCACCATTTTATAATCACTATAGTTTGTTTTAACATAATCATTTGTTTTCTTTGGTTAGCTTAGTTAGAAGTTATTTAATTAAAAATCTGGCAAACAACTCCGATGCAGAGGATTTCCTCTCAAAAGTATTTCTCTAATGTATCAAACTAGCAGCCCTGATATAGGCGTCACTTTTATACTGAAAACCTTTCCTCTAGAAAAACTGAATCAAGGCTCTTAAAGTGTGTATCCTGTTGTCCCTGGTACAGTAGCCAGATAAGATTCCACTGGATACTTCTTTGTGGAATTGTAAATGTTATAAGTAGACAATCTTTGTATAATTAAAGTGTTCTGGAAGTGAGTTTAAAAATTACAGTACTTACGTTCTGCTAATGGAATGAGTGGGATAAATTTGCTGAACACACTCTTCGTAATAGAAGGACTGGAAACAAAACAGGAATAATTGCCTTTGTCTGAAGCCTCTACGTTTGCAATATAGAGATTGCCATTTGTCTGGGAAACAAATCTTCGTTTATCCATTGTGATAAATACTGGGAATTCATTTAGAAGCCAGCGATAGCTAAGATCATCTAGAAAAAAGATAGAGTTTATTAAATATTTAGTTCTTCTCCTAAAGCATGTATTATGCATTCAAATAAAAAGCTAGCTCTTAACTTAATCTAGATAATTAAACAAAAAATTTTATATAAAGGCCAAAAAAATGATGTAATTTGTATAAAAGCTACCATATTTGGAGTAAATATATGCATAGTGATTAGGAACTATCTATGCCTGTCTTTGTCTCTAAATCATTTCATCAATGACTAATACTATTATTTCAGCTATTCAATAAATAAAATGTGATCAAATGGCTTGCTTAGAATTTTGTAACATTGAAAAAAATCAATATTTTTGTAATGTTTTTCAATAAAAAATTCCAAAATATCAGAGTCTGAAAATTGCAAATTTGCATGTAGAAAAAGTCTTATAACCATACAATGTTGTTAAGATACTATATACAAAAATGCATTTGGATTAGCCTGGATACTCCATAATAATGTGAAAATAAATATGAACATTTTAAGTCAATATGAAATATGACCTTGGTCAAACTAATATTTTTTCTCTAAAATTTATTTTTTTCTGAATTCTACTCATACGTTTGAAGATAAATGAGCTATGATAATATTTGACCTCTGTCAAATACTTCATTTTCATGAATGTACTGCATAACTATAGAATTGCTTTGCTGACTTACTGTCCCATGGAATTCTCCAATTTACTTCCTTTACTAATTAAATACATCCTGATACAATTATCTACTGATGTTTAGAAAAGTTGTTTAAAACAGACATGATCCTTCCCTTCTGGCACTTGAAACAATAATTAGTTTAACTTTGGGAGTGAGGGGGTCACACCCAGCAATGCTCAGGGCTTCCTCCTGGCTCTACACTCAGGAATTACTCTTGGAGGTTCCTGGGAGATCATATGGCAAGTCAGGGATTGAATGCAGGTCAGCTGCATGCTAGGCAATGCCCTACATGCTATACTATCTCTCCAGCCCTAATTAGTCTAAATTTATGTAATAAATTTTAGCATACTGAAAATACATTAACAAAAAATCACTAGAATATGTTAGATGTCACCATCTCTTAATGAAATAAAGTAGGAATTGATATCTTTAATTTAGTAAGGTTTTGCAATGTTAACCAGGTTTAGTACATGTTCAATTAGTACAACTGACTTTGTAACATCCCTCAATATCCCAACACTGCCAAAACTGTATCATGATAGATATGATAGCTGTCTTGCATTCCCAGTTCAAGTGTTCCAGTTAATACTTGCACTCGGTTGTTGCTATTCAGAGGCCAGTGATGCTCAGAGAGTCATGCAGAGCCAAGGAAGAATCTCTAGCCCTTGAGTGATCTCCCTAGCCCTTACTTAACTAATACTTTTCTTTTATTGTGTCATGAAGATGTCATCGTCTTTAAAAAAGTCAAAATCTGTTTTCTAACACAGTACCCAAAAGAAGGGAGAGAGAACAAGGGGGAATGCCCTGCCACAGAGGCAGGGTGGGACGGGGGGAGAAGGGTGGGGGGGATGCTGGGACCCGTGGTGGTGGAGGATGGGCACTGGTGGAGGGATGGGTACTTGATCATTGTATAACTGAAACCCAAGCACAAAAATTTATAAGTCTATAACTGTACCTCATGGTGTTTCACTAATAAAAAAATTTTTTTAAAAAATCTGTCTACTGTTGACTTACTCAAATAGTAAATGAGTATAATTAGCATTTCAATTTCGGATATCTTGCTTTTTTTGGTGTTTCAGACATTTCATATGTGTTGCTTTTATTGGTAAATGTGTAAGATAAATTTGACTTACCTCAAGAGATCTTGAGCCATACTGCAGGATAAATTTATTATGAAGTATTATTGTATATTAGACTTGGTTTTATTTTATTACTTTGAAATACAAGGTTTAACTTGCTAAATAATACATAATTATTCTTGAATTACATTAAAGTACATTCTGGATGAAAAGTTTTCAATCTTGTTTTTGAATAAAAAGGAGAAAATGTGCATTTTTAAAAAGTACCTTTGATAAAACAGATTTTACCTATGCCAAAATATATCTGTTGGGTCTAATTATAATTTGACACTACAATAATCTACATAAGCAAACGCTTAGTAGTTCCTACAAAGTTGTACTGTGGATGCATGAATTCCATCACATGTTCTCTCAAGTGTATCAATTTTGTGCCGAAATTTAAGTTTGTTTTAGTTTAAGTGCTGATATTTTTGTCTTTCATTCCAAAGAGGAAATAAAAAGCTATCATTAAATTATTATTAAGGAGGAAATAAAAAGTTTTCATTCCAAGGGGGAAATATAAACGCTACCATTGTATTATTATTAAGGAGGAAATAAGAAGATTTCTGGAAACAAAATAAACAAACAATCAGAATCTATGCAACATAGCAAAATCTGTATTAAGGAGGAAATTCATAGCAATATATAATTACATTAGGAAAGAAGAAAAAGTTCAAACTAATGACCTAAACACATCTTAAACATTGTAATAAAAATCAACAACAACAACAACAAAAAATCTCAAAGATAATACCAGCTCCAAAATCAACACACAAAAATCTTTCATATTCCTACAGAATACAAAAGAGGAACAGAACTAGAGGAGGAAAACTCAAATAGCCCATTTCATTAGAAACAGTGTCTAGCGCATGACAATGAATCTGCTAAAAGCCCCATGTATGTGGCTTCTATGACTTCCTCCTACCCCCAGGCTTCTGCTGAGTGGGGAATGGGTGACCTCCACCCCTATCCCTGTTTTCCAAAGCCCAGCGGCCATGCCCACCAACCACCTCTAGGGCCATTTAAACTCATTAACGGCCATGATCCAGAGGCTGACAAATTTGGCAAGAGAGCCACAGGTTGTATCACCCTATCCAAAAATCTCAGAATCCTTGGAGCACGTGGCTGCAAAACGAGCCGTGTGAGTTTTTATACTCCACTCCCCACATGACAGACTTGGGTGGTGGGGAGGATAATTAGAGGCAGTAGGAAGATATTATGGTGGTGCAATTGGTGATGGAATACTTAATATGGTAAATTACTGTGAACTACTTTATTAAAATAAAATAAAATTGGGGGGGAACTGTCTGAGAGAGAGGGAGAGATAGAGAGAGAGATATGGACAGACAAAAACAGAGACAGAGAGAGAAAAAGAATAAAAATGCCTGCCACAGAGCCAGGCTTGGGGGGAGGGAGGTGAAGGGAGGAAACTGGGGACATCAGTGGTGTGAAATGTACACTGGTGAAAGGATGGGTGTTGAAGTACTGTATGAAATCAGATCAAGACTCAATAAAAAAAATGTAATGGTGTCTAAGAGCATCAAGTACCTAGAAAGAAATTTAACAAAATATATGAAATATCTATTTTGTGAAAAGTATAAAACACTTAAAAATGAGATAGAAGACTTTAGAAAGTAAAAAACTTTCTCATATACTAAGGTAAAGGTAAAGGCCCTCCCGTTGATCGTCGATTTGCTCGAGCGGGCCCAGTAACGTCTCCATTGGAGACTTTGTTGTTACTGTCTCTGGCATATCGAATATGTCACAGGTAGCTTGCCAGGCTCTGCGATGCAGGCAAAATACTCTCGGTAGCTTGCCGGGCTCTCCGAGAGGGGCGGAGGAATCGAACTCGGGTCGGCCATGTTGGCCGCTTGTAAGGCGAACGCCCTACCCGCTGTGCTATCGCTCCAGCCCCCATATACTAGATTGAGAAATTAATTGCTGGATTATAGTTCTAAGCATTTTAAGAAGTAACATTGGTTTGTTCTTTCTCCCCTCTACCCCAGGGAGCTTAGGTTTATTGAGCTATACCCATCAAAGTGACCTGAGGTAGACCCAATTCCATGGGCACTCCCAAACCTCTGTGTTTCTTCAACATCTTTGTGCTCATCTTCCCTGCCTGTTGAGTCTTCTGAGGGCTCTGGAAGTGAAATATTGCTTTTCTCTTTCCTTTATGTACTTTAGACAGTTTATTTTAGAGCAACGTCCTTTTTGTATAGGTACAGGAAGACAGTTAATCCTATGCTTTCATAATATGAGAGTTAATTGACTCAGAATAATATTTACTGCTGGGCATATGTCATATTGACTCAAGCCTCAGTTGCCCTTAGCCCCTAACACCCCAAAAGGGGAGGTCTCCACAAGATACTTGGATGAACCCAGTGCAAGCTATAAGATACCCTGGCATCAAAAATGGACACGCTAGGCACCATGAGAAGTATAATAAGTTAGGAGCATGATAATAAAACAAATGCTGACATGACCCAAAAAGAAGTGATTGAATATGAACCCTGCAAGTGTTGCAAAAGATTAACCTGGCCTAAGACCTGTGGTCTGGGATATATAGTAAGATGTCCCAGAAAAAGCTACCCTTTAAGCTTAATATATCTCTTACTGTGTCCATAGAAAATGATTAGAAATATTATTAAGAACTAAATTTAATATGATTGTTGAATAATTTATTAGCAATGTAAAAGAGAAAGTAATAATGCCCTTCAATGGAATTTTGCCCTTGGGTGGATCTCCAAGTATGTATCTAGAGTTCTGGAGCCCCTAGATGAGATTTTAACCTTGGGTGCATCTCTGAGAACCTCCCCTGAAGGAATAGTTTTACATCTATTCACTTATGATAATGTTTATGATAATGTTCAAGCATACCTATGTGTAGTTGCTACCCACAACCCTTCATGATTTATCTGTAACACTGTGAGACTTGAATAAAAGGCAACTGATTACCAGCCAACCTGTAGCACCCATTCTTCCTTTGTTCATCACCGTTAGCTGGCCAGGCAAAATGTCATTCAGCTCTGAATGCAGCAAGGGATGTTTGGGTCACTGTGGGATGGTGACCCCCGGAAAAATGACAATTAATGTTGTTAGATGATCATTCTACCTAAGTTACTATATAGACTCAATGTCATCCCAATCTAAGTTTAGCACAGTCAGTAATAAGTTTTTGTATGGAATCATAAAACACTCTTATTAGCCAGTGTAATAAATA